ATCCATGCTCTGTGTTGTTGCCTTAGTGCTTCCCCACTGGAATGAACAAGCCTCTCAGCTCCTGGGGGAAAAAATGTAATAAGGAAGGAAACATTGAACTTTTGGGCAAATGCAGAGAGCAGTTCAAGTCCTAAGTGAATTTGGAATGGTCTTTCTTTTATCCTGTAAATTAAACCAAATCTCTTTTGTTCATTTTGTATTTCTTCTGTACCAGGAGTGGCAGGAAGTGAGAGAAGGTTTTAAATAAAAAGAGAGTGGTGCAAGGCACAGTGCAAATGGGAGCCTGAATGAAATAAAAACTATCAAAAGACTTTGCCCAGACATAGTTCTCCTGCAGCCTGTTGAAAAACAAGCACCTGAAGGTTCAGGTTTTCCCCTGAACCTTCACCCCAAATACAAACGCAATGCCTCTGAGCATCTTGCCTAAGAAATGCATCTGAACATTTCTGGTTTTATCCAGAATTGTGTTCTGCTGCCTAGTCCTTGAAAGCCAGATTTCTAGGAGGTTTTGTTTTTCCATCTGTTGACATTAGTTAGAGGTTTCTCCAGATGCCCTTGTGTGTTTTGAAGTCCTGCCTTGGCATACTAGGAGGAGCTCAGAGATTGGCTTCTGCCTTGGCTAGAACAGACAATTTTGGAAGTTCATGGGAGTAGCTTGTACTTGTCTATACTACCCATCTGGGTAAGGATTTTGTAAACGGTGAGACTGGGTGCTGGTCATTTGAACAGGCGGTTGCTTTTGCCAGTGAGATAAGATAACCACTGAATGAGACTACCAACTCCTCTGGTCATTTGAACAGGCGGTTGCTTTTGCCAATGAGATAAGATATCCACTGAATGAGACTACCAACTCCTCCGTGTTATAAATAACTCACTGACCTGATAACACTGAAAAGGGCACATGTATACTCTTCTGGTATAAATTGCAGCAAGAAGATTTAGGTTAGACATCAGGAAAAAAAGCCTTTTTAATGGGAAGGATAGTTAAGCACTGGAATAGGCTGCCCACGGAGACCGTGGGCTCTCTGTCAGTGTAAGGACAGGTTAGACAAACATCTGCCACAAGTGGCTATTACAAGCCTTACCTTCCCTTGGGAGAAGAGAAAAGCCTCTGTTAAGAATTAGTTTCATGGAACTAATATGATACACCTTTCATTAAAGATGTGCATTAACATACTGCAGAACACTTTTATTCTGGCTGCATTATACCGCGGTTAAGGCAATTTGCCAGCCTGCTGGAAGGCTTTCAGAAGGCTCTCGCTTATTTTCCCCTTGCATAGGCAATCTTACCTTTTGTCTGCATGGGATAGCTTATATACTTAGGCAAACCAATGGCATATGTGATTGAATTTTTGTTCTACAATAGCTCTCAGTTTCTTTCTTTGCAAATGTATTGGAGTTCTTCTTCCAACAGCTTGTTATCCAAAGTAGAATCTTATATTTAAGGTAAAAGTTAGCTGCTCCACCTCCAAATTCATCCCCAAACCAAAGTGACTTTCCTTTCTTGATAAGATCAGATGTGGTACAGACAGAGCAAGGGGAAGTTAAGGTGAAATTCTGGCTCTTAGGAGCTCTGCCCTGGCATACAGGAACATTCCTAGGGATTGGAGAATATGATTAGAAAGGGGGTTTTAAAGATCCCTAGCATCCTTACTTTTGCTGATTCTTTGACTCTCCAGGGTTCCTGGTGGGAGTTTCGATGTCTAGACTCTGACTGGAGAACGCCCAGCGGGTCTTGAAACTGCAGGGTGACAAATATGTAGGATGCCTGGTATGGTTTTTTTTCCCTCTTTTTGCTGAGGCAAGTGCTGAGCAAAACTTAAGTAATAACAGTTCACAAGCTGTTAATACCAAATACCCTGAGACTTCAGAAGTGCCTTGCTCTGCTCTGCACAGCTTGGCAGGTTATATTCTTTAAGGGTAGGCATCATTACCTGGACAAATCTGTGACATTTAATTCTGTTGTGGCTAACCTCTGTCCCCGCAGTGAATTGCTCCTTCCCTCTCATGGCTGATTGTCTAGAATATAATGCACATTTGTATTTTCTTTCTCTTGCATTGTCTCCATCCTCTGCACATGTAGTGTTTCTTATTATCCCTACTGTCCTTGCCCACATGTTGCTTAAGCCTGCTCTTCTTTAACTACATGCATACACATTTCACCCTTGGGTGCATAAGCATATAAAGAAGTCTGCCCCCTCTTAATTCACAAAGCTTTTCTGACTTTGCTTATTCATATCTGTACATACTTGTAGGTATATGGCATGCCTGATTGTTCAGGTTAGCAGTGATATGTAATATTTGCACGTATTCGTGAGACACTCCATAGTTAATTTGAAAATTTAGGTCAGAACATTTCCTTACATCCTATTTTTCCTCCTTTTTGGACAATTTAGAATGATTTTATTGGGATAATAAGGAAAGGATGTGTACTTCTGTATTTGCAGGTTAGGTGCTTCAGCAGGCAGGAGGCTGTGGCAAGACTGTCATTGTTATCCTAATTTCATAAAGTTGTCCGTGTAGTACAACGCTGTGAAACGTGCCTGGCACACAGCCTTATGAACTCCCCTTTCTGTCCCAGAGAACTTCTGAACAATTACGAGTTGGGTTTGCCTATCTGATCTAATTTATCACTTAGGGGTTTATATCATGCCTATTACTGTGATATCTAAGTGCTGCTGAGATACTGCAAGATGTCTCTTTCATCAACCACTTACTTCTATGATAAGTTAATGTTACTGAGCTGAAGTCTGGGCTGTTCTGTGCAGCATCTTAATCACTGGTCCTTACGGAGCCCCGTGTGTGCAGTTATTCTGCTTGTCTGGTGGCTTCACTGAACTGGTTTTGGGGATTTGGGCTCAGTTACTTGAGGGCTAAAGTTGCACTGCGGAAATCTGTGGCTCAGATGATGATAAATTGACCTGCTTGGTCAGTGAGTGAGAAGTCCAGGGCTGAGCAGACCCTGGGTGAGCATGTGAGTACACGCTCTTTATTCCTTCAGAAATGCACTCTCCACATCCAGGCTTAGGTATTAGCATGAGCACAGACCATCTGCTGCCCTAGACAACACTACCTGTCTTCTGCGGACAAAAGGGCCCTCCAGTTCCCAGGGCTCTCAGTCTGCCAGCTTTCACCTGCTGCTCAAAGTGTATTTAAAAATTAAAACAACTCCCCTTTGCCCACTCAAGTAACAAAAAAAAAAAAAGAGAGAGAAAAAAGAAAAATAGCCATGTACGCTGCTTGCTGGTCTGAGCAGCGTGACTCCAGGGGTAGAGGGAACATTAGGGGGAAGCTCTCCTTGGCATTTTTTGCCAACTGCTGGTCGTAAGGGCTGTTGGGAAGGTAAGACCAGCTGCCTGGCCACTTTGACCCCTTCTTACAAAACCCACTGCCTTGCCCTCACTGGGGTGCTGTGCTCATGCTGCGAGGATGGATGGGGAGGCTGCTGTCTCTGGGTGATTTCTTCTGCCTTTCTTCTCCCTTCACAAGCCCCCAGAGAGGATTTTTCTTTCATGGCCAGATGAAGCGGTTTGTTGTTTGTTTTCAAGGTGACAAGCGTTTTATGTGAATTCTAGCTGCTCTCAAATGCCAAACCCCAGCTGGGATTTGAGTTTCACAGAATAACCGCTGACACCTAATGAGCCTCTAATAAGTGCTTCTCCCTCCCGTCCTGTCATTTAAATAAATAAATGACTGAAATTTGGGGGTGGTGGGAGGTGGTGTTGGATTGCAGTGGAATGAAGCTTTTCTGTTTACCCACCAAGCAGGTACACCACTAAGAGCAGTCGCGCAAGCTTCCCACACACCCACACTGCCTCTGCCATCAACTCAACGTGTCTCAGCCCTGGCCTGGAGGGCTTTCTTAGAGGATCGTTCAGGCAAGTTCCTTCTAAAGCCCAGTTAGTTTCTTGCCCTCTCAGCTCCAGCTGCCAGCCAAGGTGCTAATTAGTGTCAACTGTGATGGGGGGAATTGAGAACAAAGGCAAGACTTTGCTAGTTGAAAGCATAGTTGATGCTCAGGTTTTTTCTTTTCCTGGAATTTTTGCAAGGAATGGTCTACCATGGGCAGTGGCTGTGCTACACGAATCGTCTCTTCAGGGACTGGAGTGGCTTCAAAACAACCCTTATTTGCGGCAGTAGGTATAAGGCAACTGAGTCCCATCTCCCTTTTCTGACCGCTGAAGATATGTTCTCTGTTTGTTTAAGAAATGGAAAATTAAAAGATATAAAATTGCAATATATCCTTATGGAAAAACAGCAAGATTAAAAAATCATGGATGCTCTTTGATTTTATTTTTCATGTGTCAGAAACACAGAGCAATTCCTTGTTTCCGGCTCAGGTATGTAACCAAGTCACTGTGAAAGGACAAGAGCAGGTATTTCAGTAAGCCCTTAGCAGGGGGTAGTGAGAACTACACTTAGCAAGCATCTCTGTCTATGTTCTTCTCCTGTGAAGACACTCCTGAAAATGCAGAACATGTCCCTCTTCAGTTGCCTGTCTCTTGGAAGAACTGACTAGGAATGGGCAACCTTTTTCCAGAAGAAGGAGTTATTTCTGGACAAAATCAACTTAGGTTAAAATGAATCTATTTATTTGATCAATTTCACTGAAAACAAATGAAGACAAGATTTTGAAAAAATAAAGAAGTTCTGTTTTGACTTTTTCAAGTGAAGTATTTCAATTTCTCCATTTCAAAATGACATTTTATTTCAGCATTTGTATATACTTCTCTTTTTTTAGACCGAACCCCCCCCATTTTTATTGTGGCTACTAGGCTGAAGTCAACATTTCAGCAGACAACAAGCTCTCTGGTTCTCCACTTCCGCCTGGTTTGAACCCACTTACTTGGAGCCTTCTCCCCAGAAATGTCCTCATCTTACATGAGCTCTGAGCTTGGGTACTCCAGAGTGGTTCTCCTGCCCAGGCCTGTGGGAGCTGTGGTTGATGTAGAGGGATGGGGCAGCTAGAAGCCTATCTTCTGTGGTTTGTGTCTCCACAGGTGGGGAAATGGAAGGAAAAAAAGTTGCAGATGAAGTATTACGTGTGGCCCCGCTTTGAGCTGTATCCTGACTCTGAGGAACGCGAGGACGATCACCTGAGTATCGTGACCTTGGAAGAGGCACCGTTCGTCATTGTGGAGAATGTGGACCCCCTAAGCGGCACCTGCATGAGGAACACGGTCCCTTGCCAAAAACGCATAGTGACCGAGTATGCACCCCTGGGTTTTTCTCCTCCTATCGGGCTCTCCCTTCTCAGCAGAACATAGAGAGTCTGTTGGGCCAATACCGTCATACCCTGATAATCCTTTTTAGTAAAGTCACCTCCTTTTGCCCAGCCTGGCCTGTGTCCATTCATGACTGGCCCTATTGGGCAAATCATCGTAGTGTGTCCCTTCACCCTCCAGCACAGATAGCACAAGTGAAATTCTCCACATGTGGGAGGGGGAGTGCATACTGACAACAGAAGGGAATTAAGGGAGTTTTCACCAGTCTTTTAACCCATTATTGTTGTGACGGTTCAGGAACAAAACTGATGAGGAGCCAGATTACATGAAGAAATGTTGCAAGGGGTTCTGCATTGACATCCTCAAGAAAATCTCGAAGTCTGTCAAGTTTACCTATGACCTCTACTTGGTGACTAACGGCAAGCATGGGAAAAAGATCAATGGGACATGGAACGGAATGATTGGAGAGGTCAGCAGCAAAGGGAGGGCATGGTGGGCTTCATCCCTGGGCTGGGTGACATGCGTCAGATCTGGTCTCCCATCATTATTGGATCCCTCTCTGGGGAAGGGACAGAGGTGACTCTATAGAAATGATTGGCCTGGATCCTTTCTGGGCACTGGGTGAATTAATCTGCTCTGACACTCTGACCATGACTACCTTTCCTGTTCAACAATTAATTGTTATTCTCTATAGTGTCACAAATTTGGCCTTCACAGTCAAAGAAAGAAGGTGATATCCATACACCAGAAGGGCTGCAACCTAGATTACACTTAGATTGTACATAAGGTGCATAAAGAATGAAATAAGACTTTGCAGTGTTAGAGGGAGGAGAAAGCAAGGATAGAAAAATGAAATAAGATGTCTTCTCAGTGGATGATGTGTTTATCCTAAGACCTCTGCGGATTTATTTTTTATACACATACCAGCTTTGAGGGGAAGATTAATGTCTATAGATTTCCTGAAAGAAGAAGGTGTCCTGATGAAAGATTAGAAGGGAGAGATGATAGAAACAATATAGGGAATGGGATTACAGGAGTGAAAGGACTTTGTTGAAAGGCAGGAAGGTGAGAAGGGGCTTGGCTGTGGTGCTTGAGAGGTGCCTCGGATCTGTGTGTGATCTCTTCCTTTTCTTCCTCCAGGTTGTCACCAAACGGGCCTATATGGCTGTGGGATCCCTCACCATTAATGAGGAGCGTTCAGAAGTGGTGGATTTCTCTGTGCCCTTCATTGAGACGGGAATCAGCGTCATGGTCTCACGTAGCAATGGAACTGTCTCACCTTCTGCCTTCTTAGGTATCATTTTAATCTAAAATTAAAACTTCACCCAGTGTTCATCAAAAATTAGGTGAAGGTTGCTTGTGATTCTTAGCCTGAAAGTCCCTTTTTGGGAGTACCTGTGGGACAGGTATATAAAAATAAACTGTGAGGTTTTAGTTCTAAATCCCAAGCAAGCAAAATCCAGGCAAATGCAAACAGGCACTGCCTAGGAGTTCCAAGGCATTTCTCAGCAATTGTGTGCCTAATCCCAGCAAAGAATGGGCTTACTCAGAGTTGTCACCTACTCTGCAGCACGTGGCTTCCCAGTGACTCAACTAATAGCATGTTCAAGGAGTGTAAGCCAGAAGAAAATTGATTCAAACCTTATAGCTGGTATGCCATAGTACTTAGTGATAACAATTAGACATTATTTGTAAAGAAGGTATTAACTTGACCCTCCCTTGACAGAGCAACTGGTAGAAGTCAGAGATCTAATAGAGCTTTTCAAGAAGAGTTGAGCCATCAGTTCTGTGCTGACACTGTGTCTTTCAATAAAGTGATTTCTAATGTCCTTTGGTGGTGGAGGGTGATCAGAGAATGCAGAGATGATACTGCTTTTCCCCAAGACATCCATGCCATCCTAGTATCTACTGTTTGGCTTTAGAAAATGCTTTATGATGCAGCAAACACAGTATATGAGTTATATAATTACTGTCTGCTCTCTGCCAACATCCTGAGAACATTTACAAACAGAAATAATTTTATATGGGTAAAGAAATTTTTCCAAACCTCTTTAAGTAGGAGTTTCATGACTGCTCACTCTTCAGGAATTTTTGCCTTTAGCCAAGCCCACCAATATTGCTGGGGTATGTAAAAGCAATAATAAAGTTAACTCCAAAATTTTAAATTGCAATTTAACTGAGGTTGCAATATTGGCTATAGTCTGGAGCAAAGTTCCAAGTTTCTTTGATCTGGTTCAGTCCCATCTTTATCTGTTCAGGCTTGGAGAAGGAGAAAACCTGGCAGAGATCAAACACTTGCAGAATATGAACGCTAACATTTCTAGCATGAGCCAGTGTTCCCCTTGCTACAGGAATGGAATAGCTGAAAAACTACTATCATTATGGCTGAACCTCAGAAATTTGGAGATGCTCTTTGGCTCAATAACATCTTGAAAGTTGGATGCTTGTCTGAAACTCTGCCAGTTCTGCTTGATTTTCCCCACTCTCTCCAGATGGTGCTGGAGGACTTCCTGGGAACAATCTTTTATCAACGCATTTTTTTTTATCAATGCATGCCACAATGGCTGCTTGTAGTTCCAGATGGAGCCGCGTGTCACAAATGTAACAGTAAGAAGGAATGCAGTCATTGCAGAGACAGAAACTACACTTCTCCCAATTCAAGAAGTTTTTCAGACACGGGTCGAAGGCTTTATTGTGACTTCTGTTTTTCCCCAGCCCAGTTTGCCCCACACTCTCACTGGGGTGCTCTGGAGAGCAAAGGAGGTGAGGGAGGGGTGAGGTGGTGTATCAGGTCTTTCACCATGGTTTTCTCTTCCTTTCCAGAGCCTTTCAGTGCTGATGTATGGGTGATGATGTTTGTGATGCTGCTTATCATCTCTGCGGTGGCCGTCTTCGTCTTTGAGTACTTCAGCCCTGTGGGCTATAATCGGTGCCTTGCTGATGGCAGAGGTAAGGGGAGTCCCTCCTTGCCATGATCCTCTCTCGCTTCCAATCCCAGTGCCTTCGTCGGGCTGTTTCCTTTGCCTTGAACATGATATGGATCTAGCCCACTCTGAGCTGTGCATTCAGAGTAAAGAGGGCGGGGACGGAGGTGGGGAAAAGGCTCTGAAGAGAGCAGATGTGTATAATGGATAATTTGCTTGGCTCGGCAGACGGAGCTGTGTCGCCTTTCATCTCTAAAGCACACACCAGCTCCAACTCATTTCTCATTGAGTGGAAATGGGTCCTGGTAGCCGGTGCTGGCAGTGTCTATGGTGCTGCGCTCTCTGAGGCAATCAAAAGGCTCAGTGCTGTCAATCCATCCCTCAGTGCTATGTCTCCCTGGAGAGCAAGCTGCTCTGCCGGCCTCCCAGCATAGTGCTATGTCCTCCAGACTCCACATCTGTCACCTGGGCATGTCCCTATCCTACTTGGCTCTCTGGCTTGCTAAGGCCAACTGAGAAAGTGGGAAGCTCATTTTCATGGGAGTGGGTGATGGATAACTTTGCAAGGGCAGCCGGAAAGATGGGAACAAGTGAGTGACCCATCTCTGTGGTTCTGATCTTCAGAAGACAGCATGATGAGTTAAAGAGAGGATGGACAGACAGCCTAAGAGACAGCCTTTTTTGCCTTACTGGCATGAAGACAATTAGGAGGTTGAGCCTTCTGTCATCTCCATATCTTCACCCCCTGATGAATCAGCCCTTCAAACCTTTCTGGGTTTATTGGCCCATTCAGAATAGTGGGAGAGAGACGATTATTGAAAAATAACATTTGCCCCCCAATCTAGTGCTTTGAGTGAATTTATGCCACCAAATTAGAGAGGGGTGCAAAAAAAAAATGTTGATGAGCATTCGGGCAGAACCACATATATGGGGAAGTGGAGAATTTCTCTCTTAACACAGAGCTGTGGAGGACCTTTATGGCAACTGACTGTAACCACATGGATCTGTGGACACAAGTAAATACTGTTAAACCTGTGAGTCTCTGGAGACATATTAATACAGATGTGGAACTGGAAGCAGTTCTTAGTACAGGTGTGCAGTCGTGCAGTTATTAAATTAGCTGAACTGCAGCTGCAAGTATCAATATTTCTGAATAATTATGAACAGTACTGCATGATCAGGCAGATATTATCCCTGACAGATGTAACTTGAAGATGTAGAAATCAGCTGCAGAGACTGCAATGCTTGTTTGGTAATGAATGCTCTGGCTAATGTTACTTTGACTGCATTCGAACTAGTCTACGACAGTATACCCCTGCCTCCCACGCCTGCATTTTCTCTTTAACGACACCAAGATTTTCTCTCCAGGGTCAGGTGGGCATGCCCTGATCTAACCCCTAAATGATGTTGGGTTGTTGTTGGGGCACTCAAAGCTGGAAAGCTCAGAAGGATTCCGCGTCCCTGGTTTGGATCAGGGGCTCCCATTGCTGTCTTGGTTTGTGGCTGACAAAGTAACTGTGAAAGCACATGGGGTGATGAGTGGAGAGAGGAAGGCTTTAGGAGGGAACTTCTCAAGATTTCCTTACACCTTACAGTTCTCACTGATGATTTGCAGGCCTTACACCTGTGTGCCTTAGGGCTTATTAGGTAGAGAGGGATATAAAGCTACCACTCCAGCATGTAAAAAGACAAGGACTGCCAAACCATGTTTCTTATAGCAACTTTGTCTCTCTGGCATCTAGAGGCTCCAGTTCTGCTTTGAACTGGGTGTGCAGTTCCCAGGGTGCAAAATGAGCCCCTTGCACCTTTCAGTTGTATTTAGAGTAACACAGTCAGTGCTTTCAGATGATCTGTGCCATTCCCTGCTCAGGGGTTGGGAGTGTCAAAACTTTCTACCCTTTTGTTCCTCTGCTGGAACCAACCTTAACCACAGGCAGCAGCACTAGGCACCAGTCAGCCTACCGAAGGGAGGAGATAAAACATGGGATGCTAACCCAAAAGGTTGCAGAGCCAGGCTGGCACCATTGGAAAAGTGACAGACCCTTGAACTGTGCCAGAGGGCTTTTGTCCTAAGAGGGTCTTCTCGGTGTCTGAAGCAGAGTCCTTGGAGTAATTGCATCTGCAGTCTCCCTGACAGCTCCTCTTGTGCTCAGGTTGAGCAAATTTTGGTTCCCACTAGTGGAACCAGCATATGTTGGGGATCTGAGGCTGCTGGGGTAGTGGCAGGATTTCACAAGTTTTCAGGCCTAGTGCTTCATGAGCACACGTGGCTTTTGAATGAGCTTCCACACTGAAAAGTGAGTAAGGGGAAAATAGCAGCTTTTAAAACACTGGATCTGCTCCTGGACTGTCTGGGGCAGAGCTGCTGATTTTCCCAAGATAGACCAGAGTATATGTCACTGTTATGTACCTTAGACACAGAACATGGGGAGAGGGAGTTGTGTTCTTATCTGGCTTGTGTGTCTTCAACAGACTGGGTAATGAAACTCTTTTGCAGAGGTATTTGTAGAGCCCTGTTATTTCAGATGGTGCTCTTCCTTGCACCTGTACAAGTACAGTGAAGGCCATGTTTTGCACAGGTGCCTGCTTGGGAGTTCAAGGACAACATCACTGTTGAATAGCTAGCAACGAGGATAGAGTTTTTCTGAGCAAACTCTACTTCTCGTGACAACACTTGAACCGAAATGGAATGTTTGGGCTTTTAGATAATCCAATCAGATACAAAAAAAACCCCTTGTATAAGGCTTCAGTGGAAATCTTTGAGACAGAATAAATATGGAAGCCTGAGGACATTTAAAAAAAAACAGTTTTCAGGGTACACTTTGCTGAGATATGGTGTCATGAACATAGGGGAGCGCAGCTGTGGAGATTCATCTCACATGTGTGAATAGATACTGCCCTTAACTCTGAAGTCAAGATGCGTATGTGAATAGAAATGCAGACCACTTACTCTGAGATGCTCACTGTGGGATCATGTTTCTTAATCACTCTAGAGCCAGGAGGTCCCTCTTTCACCATTGGCAAAGCTATCTGGTTGCTGTGGGGGCTGGTGTTCAACAACTCTGTGCCAGTGCAGAATCCCAAGGGTACCACTAGCAAGATCATGGTGTCGGTGTGGGCCTTCTTCGCTGTCATCTTTCTGGCCAGCTACACTGCCAACCTGGCTGCCTTCATGATCCAAGAGGAATACGTGGACCAGGTGTCTGGCTTGAGCGACAAAAAGGTAATGGATCCACCCAAACCCCAAAGCAGCCTTTTCCACAGAAGAGGCTGCTCTACCCTCTCTTCTTTGCTTTTGCCAGGAAAGAGTTCAGGTTTTTTCAGTCACATCATAGCTTTAGTATGCTTTTAAATAGCACAACTGCTCTTCGTTGGTATTCAGTTGCATTTTTACATGTTTTAAGCACTTCAGGAATGAATTAGAAACAGAACTGAACTGTGCTTGCTTGCATGATCCCAAACCACACCTTGATTGTCAGCCGGAAATGAATTAATGGAGTTATGGAGATGATGTGTATAATGGCTGTAACCTGTTTTTTCAGGATGAAATGATTTGTCTGTGTGGGAACGCTGGCCATTAGGCTAGCAAATACAATCTGTTAGTTTATTCTGGGGACAAGTTCTGCCCATGGGGCAGTGTGGCTTTGATGATTTACTACTGCTTGCATTTGAAGTTGTACTGTCATTTTTTCGAGGCCTTTGGAAGCTTAGCACAAGAAATCGTTTCCTGTTCAGAGTGTGTTTTGCTGCCTTGTTTACATGCGCTGCATTTTGTCCTCGCAGAGCATTTGCTTTTTCTGGGCTCTACACACTGAAGATTTTGAGGAGATTGCTCATGCATGCAGGGTAGCACTGTTTGGTTCATGAGGGTCTGAATCTTTGCACACTGCTTTATTTTTATTTTGTTACTCACAAGGAATTGAGTGTTGTAAGGCTCGATTGCCCATGCTGAATTTGTTACCCAATCACTGGGGCTGCTTAAGGGGTCATGCCATTGTAGGGCAAGCAAATAACAACAGGTTGTACACACTGCTGTTGGGGGTAGCAGCAAGAAGAGGACTGCAAGTGTCGGTTTGCTGCTGCTAGGCTGGTTATAGTTACTGTCTCTTGTGTCCCCCATGATAGCCTACAAATAAATTGTGGCCAGGCCCCCTATGTATACAGTGTCCTGTGCAGCAAGCTGGAAATTCTGTGGTGGATTAATTTTTAAGAGGCTTTTTTTTCCCTTTTGTTTTTTTTTTCCTGGAATGAAATATGACACAGAATAATACAATCCATGCAAAAGTGCTCCTGTTATTTTTTTTAATTTCAACCTCAATTTGTTTCACACTGTCTCCACATTTGCAGTGTGCTGTATTGAGGAGGGGGTAGGGGAGAGGATGCTTTTCTGGCAGGTGGAGGTTGTTCCGGAGACTCCTTAGAAGCTGTGGACTCCCTCAGACTGAAGGGCACTGTTCAAAACCAGCCAGCCCTATCAGCGTTAACATTAGTTTGTCATCATTAGGTTTTCAACTGTCTGAGCTAAATGGGATCATTCATACCTGTGATCTATTGTTTCAGGCTGTGCCTAGGCTCATGGAGAGAGCCACGCTTTCATTCTCATGTTTTTCAAGATACTTTTCATACCTGCAGAGATATCTGCATGAAATATCAGTTGAAAATGGTAACTCCTGGAGCTTCACAGAGCCTTTGGTCTCTGGGCATATTTTAGTCGATTTCACTCTAGGGCCGCCTGTGTGTATTGGATTGAGGTTGTTTTCTTCTACTTTTCTTTGACAGCATACCTGTGTTTGCTTTTTGTCGTTGTTTAACTCCAGCCGGCAATTAAGCACCACACCACGCTTGCTCACTCCCTCCCGGTGGGAAGGGGGAGAGAATTGGAGGACTAAAAGTGAGAAAACTTGTTGGGTTGAGATAAAGACAGTTTAATAGGTAAAGCAAAAGCCATGCACGCAAGCAAAGCAAAACAAGGAATTCATTCAATTCATACTTCCCATCGGCAGGCAGGTGTTCAGCTATCTTCAGGAAAGCAGGGCTCCATCACGCGTAACGGTTACTTGGGAAGACAAACGCCATCACTCCAAAATGTCCCCCCCTTCCTTCTTCTTCCCCGAACTTTATATGCTGAGCATGACATCATATGGTATGGAATATCCCTTTGGTCAGTTGGGGTCAGCTGTCCCAGCTGTGTCCCCTCCCAACTTCTTGTGCACCCCCAGCCTACTCGCTGGTGGGGTAGGGTGAGGAGCAGCAAAAGCCTTGACTGTGTGTAAGCACTGCTCAGCAATAGCTAAAACATCCCTGTGTTATCAACACTGTTTTCTGCACAAATCCAAAACATAGCCTCATACTAGCTACTATGAAGAAAATTAACTCTATCCTGGCCAAAACCAGCACACTTTTGCTATCCTAAAGCATATGTGCTTTGTTTCTTGGGGAAGAGAAAGGCCACAGTACATACTCCACTCTCTGGATGTGCAGAGGGCCTTGCAGAATTTGAGAGCAGCCGCGCAGGCATCTGTCACGCTGCTTCAGGATGCCCTGGTTTGGGAGGAATTCAATCTTCTGAATCTCCTCTTTTCCCTCTTCCAAAGCCCGCATACTGCTTGCAATTCACTCACCCCCTCAATGCACTGCTTGGCCGGGATGCAGGGTGCAGCCACATGCAGGGGAGATGGAGGTGTGCTGTGCTCTTCCTCCCTTTTCCTGCCTCCTTAAATTAGCCAGTTCAGACTTTCAAAGGAGGCAGTCACTGACCAATGCCAGGTGGCCAAGAGGATCGACTATAGCTTCCAGTCTCTTTTATCTCCAGTGTGTGATCTGGTGTCCACAGCAGAAGTGGGGCAGATCAATGTTTTGGCAAGGAGTCAGCAGAGGATGTAATCCAAGCCAACAGGCAAAGGGCTAGTTATTTTAAGGGATATTGTTTCTACTTGCCTAGACCCAGATCTGCTTGCAAATGTCTTTGTAGCATGACAGTAGCTGGGGAAGGTGTCCCACTGGCACTGTACAGCAGCCAAAATGCCAGATGCACTCACAAAATCCATTACTGTGCCTGGCTGGGGAATGCTTGTCAAGGTCAGGCTGGCTACACCCTGTCACAGCCACCCTGAGGGTCTCCTTGGACCCCCTTCCTTGGGCCTTGCCTGGCAAGAGCCGCTCTGAGAGGTGCCTACGGCTACCGACCTGCTGCTTCCCAAGAAAAGTCGGCTGAAATGCTCCAGCTGTCTAAGGACTTGGCTGGTGTCTTGGCTGTGCCCCAGCATTTACTTCCTAATGACATGCAAGATGTCGACTAACGTCATGTCCCTACTGTGCTGTGGGGATGCTTGAGCAGGCCTGTCTGCGCTGGGCTGGAGTGGATACCGCTGTGCCGGGGTAGTACGTTGGACTGAGGGTGGCTGGAGGCTCCCTGTGCTGAGCTTAGTGACCTCTGCCGCTCTCTCTCTGGCCCAGGTGATGCTCACCCTGCTGAGTGCCACCCCTTTGCGCTCAGCTGGCCCAAAACTGGTGCCAGAGCTGACCCAGGAACCCACCTCACGATGGTTGTTAACTCCCCCATGTTAACCCTTGCAGCTGCTAAATCATACGTCAAGCTGCGGCTCTTAACGCTGGTGCAGCCGCGGGCAGTTTGAGGGAGGAGAAACCCGCTCCTCCCTGAGAGCAGCATTGGCCCCGTGAGTCCTGTGGGCAAAGAGCTGCTCTGACAGCATCTCCCTTCCAGCTCCCCATCCTCGCAGCATGCCGAACCGCTGTCCTCCGGCACAGATGCCAAACCAGCACCCGCCACCTCCGCCTGTCCACGTGGAGTGGCTGGACGCGGTCCTGGCAGGGGTAGAGCCGTGCTGGCCGGGTCAGCGCCCCGGCCGGAGCTCTGCCCCTCGGCGGCAGTGCCGGCGAGCCCAGGCGG